CCGCCTTGTCCAGTCCTCGAGCCGAGGTGTACGTAGCATTGTGGTGAGTGAGTCTGCCCCTTTTCGAAGATGTTAAAACTAATGCGGTTTTTGTAGAATATAATTTGTTTTCTGCACAGCGGGGATAGAGTAAGTAACGTACAATAGATAGATATATGGCCAGAAGTAAGGCCAGCGTAAGGCTGAGTACATACGGCCAGTAAGTGAGGACTCTCGAGAGCAGGACTCGCCAACGCCTGCAAGACGTGTCTTCATCTCGGCGCGGTATCTCCACCGATCTCCTCAGGTTGAGGTCGAGTACACGCTGCGACGCCTTCACACCCTACTCTGCTCATCCCATCAGCACCCACACCGAACACAGCCGTCGTCGCCTCCACTCTTCCCCCCAGGGCTCCCATCCTCACCAGCACCAACCGTCTTCCTCTCCCTCATGTTCTTCCCCGATACACCTCCAAGCCCGTCCTCCGCGACATGAAGCCTATACTGGCTACGCGCCGCATCCTCTGTCAACTCGATGGGACGCGAGTCGAGTTGGCGGGAACGGGTACGAGGTTGAGTGTGACGCCGTGCATCTTGGCGCTCTCGTATAAGCGCAGCGAGTCTGCGAAATTGGCGAACTGGACGTGTGCGAAGCCAGGTTTGGTGGGGGAGGCGGCAGGGACGAAGGAGAGGCGCTGGATGGGGCCGTAGGAGGTGGTCCAGGCGCGGAGGAGGGTGCTCAGTGCATGGGTGGAGGGCGTGGGGATGAAGGGTATCGTGCCGAGGAAGAGTGTATCGGTGGGTCGTGATGGAGGGCGGATGTCTGTAACGTGTGGACGGGCGTATTCCACGCTGAGCGGCTCGCCGTCGAGCGAGAGAGCGTTTTGCTGGTGTTCCATAAGAGCGGCTGTAGCAGCGGCTATGGGTTCGAATCCGACGGGGAGGAAATCGTGGCTGAGGTTATCCCGGAATGCTATCGTGAGTTTAGCGCCGTCCTCGTGTTGCGATCGACAACATACCTTTACTCGCTGAAACTATTCCCTTTAGATTCCTGAATGCAGGAGGTGCTCGCGTCTCCTGCGAGGAAGCATCCTTGGGAGTGCCGGGTACGTGTAGGATGGATCTTCTCCCCATCTAGATGGACCCGCGTCGGATTCCATATGGGTTGGACGCGTCCTGTCGAGTACAGCCTCCCCAGCCGTCGAAGTATCGCTGCCAACATGATGAACGACTGGAGGCAAGGTGTCGGCCCGAGCATCCCGCCAAGGACTTCCGAAGTACACATCTGCAAATACAGTGCGCCTTCCTTTCCCCGCGACACGACATGAACGCACGCAGCCACCAAACTCTACATGGACCTCACACAGCCGTCCTTCTGGCTCAGCATTGCCTCTATCGCGTTCAACCCCACTGCATGGAATGGTACGCGCCTTCCTCCCTTATACCCTTCGAGTATTAATGATTTGCATAGAATACCACAACCAAACCGTCCTTCTGCCTCTATAACGTTCGCATGGAATATCGTCGCCCGCAATGGTGCGCGCCTTCCTCCCTTATACCCTTCGAGCACTAATGATTTGCATAGAATACCACAACAAAACCATAACCCGTCTCTTTGGCTCACAAAAAGCCGGCTGCTATTTCCTTGCCTTCATGATATTCTCCTTCGGCATGCTCCGCGACAATCGCTTTCATGATGCCCTCGCCTCTCAGCCCGCTTCTCTTCCCCCGCTCGCGAAGCCATTCGACACGTACCTGCCGATTGCGCTTGTGGCGAGTGGTCAGATTTTGGTTGTGACTTCGACGTGGGCGCTGGGTATCACGGGGACGTTTCTCGGGGATTACTTTGGTATTTTGATGGACGCGCGCATTGAGGGGTGGGTCACTCCCTCATCTCTCTCTCTCTAACTCCAACTAAATAACACGTAGATTCCCGTTCAACATCCTGACAAACCCCATGTACTGTACACTTTCGACCGTATATTCAAATAACGCGTCACGGAGCCCGTTGAACCTAACTTAAACCAATAGATAACGCGTAACGCCCCTTATTTTGAGGGTCATATGTCCCAAAATAGTAAGATTTTCGGTCCCGCCTGCGGCGGGATGTCCCAATCCGGTAAGAACGGCCCTCGTGCCTGAAATTGAACTTCGTTCATATACGTTCGACGCATAACGCGTCACGACCGGCGAACATCCGGTCGAAAGTATACAGTATGTTGGCTCCACCATGTGCTTTCTCGGTGTCTCCCTATGGTTTCCAATCCATCGCTGGGTTGGTTATAACGGCGTATGTGTATGTTGTGTATGTCGTGGCGTTGAGGTTCGAGGGCCGTTTACGGATATGATCTACGCGAAGAGAGAGGAAGAGAGGGCTGCGAAGAAGCAGTAGATTTTGAGGGGCAGAGGAGGTGCCAAAAATTATTGATTCTTACGACTCTGATGGTTAATACCTAGAATAGAGGTAGACTGGGTTCAACTAATCTTGATGTGACGTGTTTTCCGCCTGTTGACTAGCCCGAGCGCACCACATCGGGTCACCTTCTTTTCGTCAATAAAACCTCGTCCGTTGTCAATGTTATATATACCTCACCGTCGAGAACCGAGATACGCTGCCTACACTTTGGGTAAAGGCAAAAACGTTCCAAGTGTGCTTAGTCTCTTTGTACTTCAACTTGTACCCACAAGCACTCTCCAAATCCCATCCACACACCAATTTGGGAGGAGCATCCTGCTTGGCCTTGGGCTCATGTTGTGATGTCGTCATTCGGAAGTGCATGCGTCCGGTGTTCCCCTTCTCAAGACGCGGGATTGCTTTATATGCACGTATGTCCTTGACCATCCATGTTTTATGGTGTTGTCCAGGCGCATTCAATATCACAACATATATGTGTCTCCCCTTGACAGGCGAACTTCAAGTGGGGGACTTTGTCTGGGCAGGTTCCGCGATTGCGGGAAAGAGGCCTGCCAACTTGAATCCAGTGCAAGCGGGCGCCGTGTAAGTACAACTCCTCGTATCTTTTGCTGTATGACCAGATATGTCTGGTAACACCGACCCCCGACAAAGCTCCCGCGGAATGGTTGTTGAACGAGTCATCAGTCAGAATGTTAGACTAGACACCCTTCTCGTTACTAATCATCCTACGCTACGTTTAGCCAAGAGGCAGCCCCCAGAGCTCGCGGGGGCTCCAACAACCACCAATGAGTTGCGACGGACTGGTTTAAATACAGGGTGGGCAAAGAAAAATCGAACAGAAGAAGAGTAGAGTATTCGGCTAAAAGTACAGTAAACAGAGAAATGACAAGAAAAATAGATGGTACAGATGGGATGCATACGAGAAATGAGTAAGGACAGACATAAGGAAGAGAGATTGATGGGTGGGTTAAATGCGACGAGTGAGCTAAACTCAACGGTCAGAAAGGCTTCTAGAACAACATCAATAATACGCACCTGGCTCGACGGTAAGAGAGGCTTGGGAAAAAGTCTCGCCGTCGTGCCGGGTGATATGCCTGAAAGAGGTTAGAGGGCGTACAGACAGGCAGTACGCCAAAGACGTTGGTCCTGGACTCGAAGGTTATCTGAATATGTCGTTTCAGGGACAAAGCTTCGCCGGCGTGCATCGGTGTTGGTGGTGCGGTCTTTAGGTCCGTCCCGAGCCTTGAGACTGGCAAACAGGTGGTGGAATCGGCCTTGCGCTGTGGCTCGTGCATGCTGTTGACCTGAACATATTAAAATATGTATCATTTTCACTGTCGTTACTCCTAGTGTCCATAGTTCTACTGTCCGTACTCGCACACCGCCGAAAAAAATTCTTGTCTATACTTACTCCTCTGAAAAATGAGATTTCTTCCGAGATGGTTGTCTAGATGACTGATTTGGCACGTTCACGAGGTACCGGGCACAGAACGCCCGGCGACGATCTCTCATCGCGATCGGTTCACAATGTGGCGCAAATTGATGAGCTTTCATTGCAGGAATACGAACTTTCGCCCACTAACTACAATGTCCAACGTCGCCTCCATAGCGCAGCATTGAAGCTCAGTAACGATCCGTGACACACCCTTGATTTCATCCAAGAACCCTTGAGCCTCTAAATATTCAGCCGCCCACGCGCCCACGGAATTCAGCAATTCGTGCAAGGCTTTTTGACTTCTCTCCTCCATCTCCTGTAAATCCTCTCCGATGCGGTCAAGGAGTGGGGATGACTCGTAGGGTGTATATTCTTTGAGGACGATAGTCAGAGTCTTCTTGAGAAACTCGGGTTCGGAAGAATCGATGTATTCTTTGAAGCGCCTATGTACGATGCGTGCCGTGGCGAGAGCAGGTATTATGGCTTTTGTCATGTTTCTTGAGGGGGGGCTACAACGATTAGCGCTACTTGTCCACACTAAAAAGAAGCCTGGCGCTCACGTTCTTGCAGCCTCAAGGGCGCTTGGTTCTCCTTGCTCTGCCTCCTCAGCGTATTTATAGTGATTGTGGTAACGCTCTCGCATTTGCTTTTTGACGCGCTCGTGTACCCTAGTGAAGTGTCGGCTCAAATGTATACAATAGACTGGAATGCGTACCGCGGTTTGAAGTACCAGAGAGATCGACTAGCTTGACGAGCAGCCTGTCTAGACTCTTCGGAGTGGTAGATGGGAGGACGACCACCCGGATGACGCTGTTTGCGAGGTCGCCCGCCCGGCATAGTTGGTGATGGACGTAGTAAAGCAAGAGGAGTGTACGCGGTAGACAGAGCAACGCGATCGGATTTGCTATAGCGTTAATGAGCTCCCTCTCAGCTCTGGCCATTTCAATCAGACAGAAACTCCATTTAATCGCGTAAAATCACAGAAATTGGGCAGGACAATTTGCAAGGAGTTCGCCTATTCACAATGTTAATACAAACTCTCATGCGCCTTCACCATCGTCGACGAGGCGCCTAAGATCAGTCCGGATGCGTGACCCGAGCCTATGTCACCTTTGGGAGGTGCGTTGGAAAAGAAGTAGATGCCTACGATTACTTCCTTCGAAAGCAAACGCACACTTAGCTCAGTGGATCAGAGCACCCCACGAAAGTGATTACGCCTTTGTCACCTTCTTTCCGGGGAGGCGCCGGGTTCGAGTCCCTCAATGTGTATCATCAATTTTTTTTTGTGCAAGCGGGTGGTAGCACAGCCACAGTCGTCTCCATTCCTTAGTCCTACCCTCATCATCCTGCGTGTATTGTCAGGTTCGCCCAGTCCGTCGCTCTCGAGTCTCTTGCACTCAGCGGGGTTGTCTCTGGTCCGCTTCCGTCCTGGTGGCCCGTTCGTTTCAATACGGGCACGGGCATCGGCATTCCATGGACTGCCCTTTGACAGGCCATGTTCCGTCTTCTCTTCCTCAAGAGCTCCACCACGCCTCGCGACGGACGGCGACTGCTGGGCATCCGTTGGTGCCTAGTCATCTTGTCGTATGTATTTTGTGTCGCTGCTAAAGAACTGACGCCGAGACCACACCTATGTAGGTATGGGGTAGCTCCAGTACGACATAGTGCTCGAACCTGTTCACGCCGATATCTTCACGACTCGCTCAGCGTCGGGTTCGTTTCAACACGAGGACGGCGCCGCGGCGTTGCCATGGACTCCCCTTGACAGGCGGCGTCCAGTCTTCCCTTCAACAGTTCCACCAAGCCTCGCAACAGACGGAGAACGCTTCGCTTCGGTTAGCGCCTTATTCTCCGGGTCGTTTTGTCGGGCGTTCGTTCACTTAGGTATGTGGCAGCAGCATCCTCCGCATTGGTCCCAGAGAACACAGCTCAAACATTTTAGGACAGGTTTCCTCTTCCATTGCGCAGCTTGCGCTTTGGAGACATCAAGTCGCCGCTCTGACCCTCGCGCCACTAATTGCTACGCCCCTGCTCATCTCCGCGCACATGACAGAAAGGCCGCCTTCCGCGCCTAACTTCGAATGCAATTTAACCCACGTACAGTCTCCATCGCCCTGGAACGTGCGCTCTACGTATCCGCCCCAATTCATTATCCCATACGCCACACCCACGCGTCTTCGCCCGAATTCAATTTCCCATACGCGACTTCGAATATAATTTAACCAGGTGCAGTCTCCATCGTCCTGGAACGTGCGATCAACGTCTCCGCCCCAATTAGAGATCGGCACGAGTGTATACCCGGGTGCACCCGGCACCCGTCCGGCAAATACTTGCGACCCAAAAGCCGGACTTGCCACCTGGAAAAATACTTGCCACCCGTAAGTACTTGACCCGCGGGTCAAGTACTTGGCAAGTACTTGCTCGAAAGGCAAGTATTTGCACCATCCGGGTGGGCAAGTACTTGCCCACATTCCGCCCATGATTCGTGCCCGCCGCCGACCCCCGAGCAATTGCGCGGGGGTTAGAGACGTGCACGATACACATTTGCTAGGCCCCGGCCACTTGCGAGAGCAAGAACCGCGGCTCAACAAAGTGCATAAGTGGGAAATGCGGGTGTGGGTAAGGGAAGAAGTGGCAGCGAGGAGATGGAGATCATGAGGAGATGCCGGGCACAAGGAGATGCTGGGTGTGAGGCAGGCGAGGACAGACTGCGCGACGTAAACGAGAAAAGAAAAGCAAAGATGTAGTAAATACGCACCTGTGAGGCTGGATGCGTCCGCGACGCCGTCCAGCCCCCCCAGCCTCGGTCACTGACCACCCGCACCTCCAGTAACATCGAGATCGTCAATCGGCGCCGTCATAAAGACGAGCGCCGCACATTCCGGGCCCCGTCGAACTGGTGCCGTCGTGCAGACGAGCACCAGTGTATTGCAAGGCGGCGGGCTGGCAGACAGCCAACCACGCACGAGAATCCAAAGAAAATGGTCCAGTATCGTTGCTGCCTCGCTTGTGAGGGCTTACGCGCTGCGGGTCCTCGATAAATTGGTGTCGTCGCGAAGACAAACACCAGAATGCACCCCGGAACGTATCCGAGGGCGCAGCGGCCGGCGCAAAGCCAAACCGCGTCGGGAAAGCGAAGGAGCATAGAGAATAAAGGTAGAACAGGCCCCAGACAAAGTTCTGGGGCCAACGAACATGACGCCGTCGTCGTGCTGTGGTGGGAGGAAGCAAGAGCTGAGATCGGAGCGGATCGATCGTTATCCGGCAAGTGCCGGGACGTTCGGCCAGCTCGGCGATCAGAGAAATTTCTTCACAACGTCGTTTCTGACCGACGTTGAGGTCGTTTGACCCCAAATAAATTTCAATAAATCATGTTTAATATATTTCTACATCTGTGCAAGTACTAGGCAAGTATTTGCCACAAGTACTTGCCTCACCAAACTCGTACTTGTCACCCGCGGCACCACCCGTGGGAAACAAGTACTTGCCACCCGGGTGCCGGGTGCGGCACCACCCGGGTGATCGAAATACTTGCCGGCACCCGCAAGTATCTGCCACTCGTGCCGATCTCTAGCCCCAATTCATTATCCCATACGCCACACCCACGTGTCTTCGCCCGAATTCATTATTCTATACGCCACACCCACGGAAGCGATGATCTTCGCATGTCGATCTTTTTCCCTTCCTTGGGGGATGCCGACTCAGTTGGATTCCTCCGATTCTCCTCGGTCCAAGAGAGGTATTAAGCTGAGCCTTGGTGATCCAGCCAGCGCGCTCCCACATTCCCATCCATCTACACACGCGTACAGTGTTTCCGGTTATCCACCCTTCTCAGTTTCGAAGCGCGCCTGCATTCCCTTCTTCGCTAGCCCTCATCATGCCGCCCATGTACAGCCTCCGGGTCGACAAACGACTTAACGCCAGTTTCGTTCTGGATCGACGTCGCGAGGAATACAAGAAATTGTTCGATATTCATTGGTCGCAAGACTTCTTCGACGGCACCATCGACCTTCCTCGTATCAGTGCAGTATGTCGTTCTTTTCGTGACTCGACTTCAAACTGATTCGTTTAATAGCCTTCACAAGCTTTGGAGATTGGCTTCAACATATGTTTACCTTGACTTTTGTGAGCCGGCGCTGATGGCTTTTCTTGTTAGGTACTTCCTTCGGATATGTTGCGTTGTGTCAACAACTGCTCTGGCGAGTGGGGCGACCTTTACGACTCGGCCGTCGAGTCCCGTAACTACCACGGTGTCAAGCTCTTCGAGCGCAATATTGCCTTCGAAGTCAATCGTCGCTGGGTCATCCCTGACGGTCCTCTCAGGAAGGAGCAGGAGGTTCAGCGAATGCGGGTTAGTTTCGCGTTATTCTTGTCCGTTTCACACTCTCATGATTGTGGTGCAGGTTATAGTTGAACTCATGTGGTTTTATCACATGAAGCGGCGTGGACGCTTCGGATTGCGTGGTCCAAGGCCTCTTGACCCGTCGCCCATCGTTATTCCGCGTCTGCCTGCGCCTCTATCCTCACCCGCAGAAGGTCCTGCGACGCAAGACCCTCCACCCGCCGCACAAGCCCCTCCATCGGAGGATGTCGAAATGGCCCCTCATGTCCCCTCCACTTCATCCGCCTCCACTTCGTCCTCCTCAACCTACAATGTGTCCCAGCCGCGCTCGCGAGTTCTAACGGCTTTGGATGCGGAAATGTACCGCCAAGTGAACGAGTTTCTACCTCAGGACGATGATCCCTCTGTCACTTCCATCGCTGCGCGCCAGTTACGGATGGAAAGACGGAAGCCTAGATTCCCTCACCCCAATGAGGCACGTATCCCTCTGCATCTGCGCTCGCCTCGGGCGTCCCCATATCCCGTCCCACCACCACCTAGCCCCATACGAGCCCATTACACGGCTGAGGAGAATGTACGGCGTCTAAATGAAGCCCTTGCGCCTGTTCGACAACTTGACCACTCTTTGCATCAGTCCGCCTTGGGTTGCATTCCTTCCACATCCTCCACTGCCTCCACATCCTCCACTAAAGTGACAGTTCTGGATTCGTTACCTACTTCTGCGGAGGAATGGATGGAACGCCTTGGAGCGCGGTCGGCTGCATCAGCGTCTCACTTCGATATTTTGACAGCTTGTCTCAAACGGGCTTTGCCCAACCAAGCGCTCACCAGTTCCTGTCAGTTCGTGGCTGATGAGCTGAGCGCAGCCGCTGTTGACCGGGAGCACAAGAGTCTGAATTCGCTCGAGAACGTGGCAGACAGGCTTAGGCGGGTCATTGCAGAGGAACTAGAGGTGCGGCGGGATGCCTTGCGCCGTAGGGAGTCGGAGTTAGTCTCGAATTGGGAAGACGAGTATCTGGCTGGTCTGCGCGAGGACCGGAAGCTGCAGGCAGAGATTGCGCTGTTGAACGGACGACAGCCTTCCCCATCTCCCCCTCCTTCACCCCGCCACGAGACACCGTACTTTGTCTCTTTAGCGGGCTCTAGCGGTTTCCGTCGTCCTCCTTCATCTAGAGTTGGTTTGGTGGCACCGGCCTCTACGCAACACTCAGCGTCACCGCCGCCTCTCATGTCTGTCGCACCTTCAACTGCTACCACGCCAAGCAGCACTCGCCTGGGTCGCCAACCCCACCTCCCCCATCAAAATCCTACGACTACGCCTGTCAATATGCTACGAAGGTCGATGTGTCTGGTGCTTCCGATTTCAAAGGAGATAGCTCCGGCGGAGGACGCCCCGACCGTTCGGGTCCTATCATCTTCCACGACGACCCACCAGCATCTGTCGGAGAGCGCTCAGACGCGTCGGGCCTAGTTGTATTTGATGGTGACTTTACTTCCGCGGGCGGGGAACGTGATATCATGATTCCATCCGATCCGGAAGAACCGGATGTCGACATGGACAAGGTGATTGCCAGTTCCTTCTACCGGGACTTGGCCCGAGACCTCACAGTTGACCCCTCTATTGACAGCGCAATGGTGCGGGCGCTCACCTCACTCGCGGAGGTTGCGCCGCATGACTTGCCAAATACGTGTGTTGACAAGATGCTTGAGCAGGGGCCTGCGTGAGGTGATTTCTACCTTTGTACATTTTTATTTCCACTTGAACGTTTATTGATATCCTTATTCATCTCGCTTATTAGACGTACATAGACATACATACTAGACAACTTAGACAGATTAGACACCAGAGATGATAGAGATTTTGTTATACTTATGCGCAATGTACTGTTATTTTCACACCGATTTTCTTGCCAATTTGCCTCATTAA